TAAAAAATCATTCAACATAGTAACCTCTCATGGTTTAAACCAAGCTCGGAACCTAAGTAGGCTACTCCGCGTGGGTTAAGACGACAGTGTCGCAAACGAATCGAGTTTTCAAGCCTTATCTAATGACGACCGTCTCGTGGGTAGCTTTCGTTGCTAAATGCGCGTGTGTCCTAAATACTGCCCCTTAATGCAGGTCGTAACCTCGATGGGGTGTTGCTAATTTGATGACGGACAATGAATCCTGAGCGAATTTGTAGCCTGAATAATTATAACCTCAAAAGTTAGTGGAATTACGTCAATTTGCTAAGTTTTATTGAAATCGGTTAATGGAAAATAAGTGAAATCCAATAAACCGGATTCAAAAGACGCAAAAAAAATACGGTCTAATCAAGGACCTTCTCCTTGGTAAATAACGATTGTGGTAGTTGGGTATGCCAAGTTGTTAATGAAGCTGTTCGGTTTAATTACGCAAATAATAACTTCAACAGAGTAAGTTATTTTTTTAAGTTAACAATTTTGCCATGTGGCAACATAGTGTTGCCTCCTTGCTCTCTGGTGTTTGGGTAAGAAACGCGCTAGTGTAATGAGTATTTAATTAATCTAGTGTATATTAGATTATCATTTGTCTACTTTGTAAATGTCCTACGATTCAAGATACGTAAGGTTTGCAAGGTACTTCTTTTCATTACTGCATAGGTCGATGCAGGAACATACTCTCCATATAGTGGTAGGGATAAACCTGCTAATATGGTGACCTCCGTTGTCGAGTGGCCTACACACCAGTTTTCATGGTGGCGCCGGCCGGGTCAATATAAAAACTAACTTTTCAATTCTGTCTTGGGAACGGGAGTTTGTGGTTGTTTCCGATTTCCACAACACAAGTGGTTTAGTTACTTATTTTGGGATCAGAGCAACGAATGTAATGTTGTTTAATATTTATTCAGCTAAAGGCGGACTGGTGCAAGTTCTTTGTCGCTGTAGTACGTTACCTTACAGTTATCTTTGTTCTTCAACAAATTTAAAATTCTTAATACCTTGTATTACATAATACATGATACGTATTACTAATGAATGAGTTAACACTATCGATATCGATTTATTTGCAAGTTAACCATGGACAACACTAGATCTTAGGCGTATTTTTTATTTTTTTCCATATTTTGCCCTACGTCAATATATCATCGTGTTTCATTACACCACGAAATTGGGACAACCTGTATCGGGGTCAAAAGTGACATGGGTCTGGCAACCGTTTTGCATCATCCTGTTTGTATCCTGTTAAGGTCAAGAAGAGGGTTATTAGGACAACTTTAAAAAAAAACTAAAATTGAAAAGAACGCGTTAGCCGATATCAGTGAGTTATTCGTAATGAGCTTTTCTTGACACTGTTAAAAATTAACAATCATCAATGCATTTATACGTCCAACTTCTGGGCACAGGTCCTCTCTCAGGCGAGCGTCCTTTAGGCACAATGTGGATGTGAGGACTTCATACGTTTTCCGAGATTTGTGAACCTTCTTCGACGCGCAGGTTTCGAGGTCGAAAAGTCCATGGTAAACTTTAAATTAAATTTCGCTAATGAATTCCGAGAAACTCATAGGTGCGAGCCGGGAATCGAACTCACGGCCTCTGCTTGAGAGGCGGTAGTTCAAATCACTAGGCTACCTCGGCTTTTAAAACAAAAATGGACTTGTAATTTTGACGGAAAAATATTATTGATAATTTCACGCTCCATTGCGATCAGAAAAAAAATTGTCTCTTAAAATTGTTAAAGAACGATATTAAGTCATTTTCGAAAGAGCTTTATTCGTAATTCGATTTCTCCGCGCGTTTCGAATTCGAAACACTACCCCATGGGGTACCAGTGCCATTTAACAAAATGATATCCAGTGACGTGGACACTCATGATACAGCTAGTCCACCGGTTAACAGACGCTCAGCGAGCTATTGAACGAGCTTCCCTAAAGTATAAGATCCGAAACGAGGTTATCCGACAGAGAACCAAGGTACATTGTTGATATTCCACGGATTCGTAAGCGCCCAGTTACCACGGTTTCTTAAATTCTATTTACTAGGCAACAACAATTAAGTTTCTCTGAATAGTACAACCGCCCGGCCGCCGCGCCGCTCGGACGCCGCGTAGACCAAGGACAAGCCATTTAAGCTCATTTCAGTTAAAACGTAAAAGCTAAATAAATAGAGCGTACTTTGCAATGACAGTTAGATGCAACGCGGTCCCCGCGCGGTGTGAGCGCAATCTAATACATGTCAAATAAATGCAACCTTACTCTTCCACATTTATATGGCATTTATCATTTAACTGCCTCCGAGGCCGAACGGTTACCATGCCGGACTGCCACGCAGAGGTCCCAGGTTCGCACACACTCAACATAGCCCCTATGTTGAGTGTGTGCGTTATTATATTACAAAGGTACAAAAACACAATAAAAATGTCTCGTACACTAAATTAATATTAAAGAAAACGGTAACATTTAAACAGCATTTTAATGTCAACCATTTTAATTATTAGAGATAAATTTAAGAAACCGTTTAATAAAATCGTGAATACTATTTCGGAACACTCTCTATAAAGGTCAAAGGTGAATATGGGCCCGGCTGTCATTAAAGACTGCGTAGGTGTCTTGAGATAATACGTGATATTAAAAATTTCCATTAGATTGCATCATTCCTTAAATATTTACCGTGTGGGCATTTACAACAAATTATTTTTATTGTTGAAATCATTCATAAATTTTTATTAATGAGTAGTGACAGGCCTGACTGAAGAACCGTTGCCTTTCATGTTGATGATCCAAGTTCTATTCCCGTATGCATACACAGATTTTAGACAGCAGTAGAGCTTCTTGTGAAAGAGTTCAACCTAGCAAGTACTGCCACCTTTTCTATTTCTGCACCAAGCATTATTGTGATACAGTTTTGAAGGGTGCTGGTGAAATGACAGCCACATGAGACTTGTCAACTTATGTCTTAGGATGACGGGCGTAATGGCAGTGTCCATGAGATCTTTACGATTTAAAGCTCCGGTCCGCACTGCAAGGGCGCATTCCTGTTGTGTCGTAACGTATCACGACTATCTGTCATGGCTGTGTCGTGGACGTTTCTTTTATCGTTTAACGACAGTCATCGACGACAATTCATCGGATCACGGCAGCCTCTTTGTCGTTTGCACGACAGAATTGTTTGAAGCCGCGATTATGGGAGTCGCATTTTAATCGTGACATTTTATTTATCGTCTGACGACAGTCATAGCTCTTCCATTGTCACGGCAGTCTGTCGTCGTAACGTCAAAAAAGTGAACGACAGTTAATCGTGTTGTTCTATGTGTGAACAACTTCATTTAAATATACAAGTCACGACACTTTGAACTGCACGACAATCTGTCTTCACGACATAGTGGGGATAGATTAATGTACAGTAGTACAAACAATATTTAAAAATATTTCTGACTCTTGAATATTTTTTAACAATCGCCCAACACTAGTCATTTAGAAATGAACTATAATAATTATTTTTGGACATCACATTTTAGTGGCACTGTACGGACTACACACTAACAGCGAGTTGCAGAAAAGATTTTTAAATTTAATGGACCGTTCACTTTTATACTGTCCCTTACTATATCAAAACTAGAGACAGCATGTTGCTTAATGTAGCATTAAAGTTAAAGGACGTTTATGGAATTGGGGTTTAGGACTGTTTTACGAAACAGGGGACACATTTCGTCACAACTAACCGTAAACTATTTCTATTATATTACATGATAAAAAAAACGCCAAATGTTTAGATTCATAAATAAACATTGACTTACAATTATACGGACGTCGGGTCCGCGCTAAAAAGTGTCCGAACTTATAGGGCGTTAAAATCGTATACAGAGCGTCATTCACGCTTTAGTCTTCGTTTGTTCGACTGATAGCGAAGCAAGCAAAATTAGATGGTACTACGATGACATTACAATTTAAATTCAACGTTTTAGCTTTTTCATATTCCTTTACATGTCACTACGTTTGAATAGGTTGACTTGGGACATTTTTTTCGTGGTTTTTCTATTAGACCCGTCGTCCATTTATTTGTAAGTCAATGTAAATAAATAAATATTCAAGCAACGACGCAAGATGTTTGGGATCAGAGCAACGTTGTGACGTTGCTTTGATCCCAAAGTAAGTAACACGCGCCTGGCCTCGCGACATGCCTGCCCATAGAAATTGCAATGACACTCAGAACTTTAAACTACACCCTGAGACGGAAGTTGACAAGTTTCATCTTCCTGTAATTTCACCAGCAACCTTATCCTTTAAACTTTTAACTTTAAACTTTTAACTTTTGGCGGCTGAAATAGGTTACGTCCACAAACTTTTTCACAAGCAGCTCTACAGCTACTAATCTAGTCTCTCTCTCATTACACTGTTCCTCATTCTACTTCCAAGAATCACACCATATACTACGTAACGCTGTCATTTGCGGACACCAGTCCATCTGCAACTATATTAACAAACCATTACGACAGTTATCACTTGCAAGCCAAAAAGGCTCGTAACCTCCGAAATAATAAAACAAAGTACGTAAAAACCCCTCTTTTTGCTTTATTTATTTTGGCGGGAACGAAAAATTTTTACGACTGCCTCAGGACCCGTATTATGTCAATTTTTATAACCCTGACCCCGGGGTTTTTATCTAGGAAATTAAAACGTCATACTGTTTTATGACTTCTTTTAATGACTCATTTTTTTTTCAAAATATCCTCTGAATTGATGATGATACGTGATACCGTTTTATTTTTTCTATCGTTGTTTGTTTAGGGCTTTGGTTTCGAGCTTTCGAGCGTTTATCAAACAGATGTTGATTTTTATTTACACAAGAGGGCGGACGTCTAGACTGGTTTTGTATTAAAGCCATATGTTAATTGAACTAAACTTTATCATATTGATGTTGCCAGTTGCCAGTTCCAGTTGACTAAACGTTTTTTTTTCTATTTTCAGATCGCCCAAAGCACAAGTTGTATCAAGAAATGACTACTAGTGTTTAGTGATTAGTGTCTATTTAGTGACTATTGACATTTAGTGACTAGTGATGTGCTAAAGTGGCATAGTGACGCGATGAGGTGATTGCAACTGTTGTCGATAAACTATGTGCTGTGAAATTAGGGTAGATAAGTATAATGTTTTGTGCCAAAATGAGGAATCTTGTTGCTGTTTTTTGTGGTAAGTTGTATTTTTTTACTTATTTTTACATTTTAGGTAAAATTTTGTGTCTAATTACTTCTAGTTGTACAATAACGATGAGTATATACATTTATATACTCATCGTTATTGTACAACTAGAAGTACAAACGTAAACGTAAACGTAAAGTAGAACTATTAACGAATTAGGAAATGAAACTATTTTTCCGGATTTAAATCGCGTATACCATGGGACCTGTAAAGGGCCCGAAACGTCGGTTTGTTTGAAAAAACAAATATACGCGATTTAAATCCGGAAAAATAGTTTCATTTCCTATGTGTAACAATCGCGAAAACCTAAGAACTCGATATATTAACGAATTAATTTTCACATTTAGACATGAACATCGAATATATTTTTTTTATCGTAGGAATAAGTACGCTGCTTGAAACCAAAACCTAGTAAGGGACAGATTGTAAGTCTTATTCCACCGAGATTATCCCACTAATTAAGAAAAGAACTCTAGAAAAATGGGAATATCATTTCGGAGAACAGTCGGTGGATAAAGGCCTTGGAATATTGTACAGAACCATTCAGAGTAATCCACAGTGGGTACCCTGGTTTGATTCTATGAATATAGTAAGGAAATATCTTGTATCGGCTTTTAGACTGCGTTCTGGTCACATTCCAACTAACAAATTCTTTCATATGATGGGTTTTAAACCATCTCCAACCGTATGTAACCCTGAGAGGTACCAAGTTTATGTAACGGGCAAATTAATTGTTGGTTCATGAGATGTCGAAACCTTAAAGCCAGTAAGGCACACCTAATCGGTTTTTGTTAGTAGATAATAAACTTTACGGGTACTGGAAATCTTATTTCAAAATTTTTAATGCAGTAACTAAACTGGGTATTTGACCCAGCAAATGCTCATACTGTATTTTGATTCTGGCTGCTACAGAGACTTTACTTATATATACGTTGTGATCATTTTTGTGACATTAATGTATTCGTTGATTAGTACCCTACCTAATACTGTTACTTTTAAACTCGTTTAAGGGCGACCTTGATATGTGTTTTTCGGCTCTCCTGTAAAATTTTCTTTAAAGCACTGACAAGTTTTGTTATGGATTGCGCGTTTGGTCTCCATCTCAACTGATTGAAAGCGACGATCAGGTTGATGATGGAGCACGCACAGCTCAATAAAGCCTATTCAATTTCGCCTTGAAAAGGCCCAAGTCTTAGCGTTCGGAGAACGCACTGCAGGTAGAAAATTGTGTTAATTCCATTTTATCGTATTCTCTATTTTTTACATGGTCGCTTACTGTTTTGAGAACTAAATAAACATCTCGAATTCATCGTCGTTCAGCTATTAACCGCTAGATGGCAGCACATTGGTTGAAATTTCAACATGAACTCATAACGTCGTAACTTGCAATAACAGGTATTGATAGTATTGAACTTCCAACGATATGCCTACAGGGTAAGTTTATATTATATTAACAGTCCAGAATTAGTTATTTCTTTTTAAGTTTGCAAGTACGACCAGTCAAAACTGCGTCAGTGGCCGAACGGTCACCATGTCGGGCAGAGGTCACAGGTTCGATTCCAGGGCCGGGAAAAATATTTGGCCTATATTTATTTCTCTTGTGAATTTGGGTGTAATTTATGGTTGTCTATGTGTGTCCATGGCACCCGCGACATGGGGTTTCCCTACTCCCATCAATCTCTTCATACATGCCCGTTTATTCTTGGTAACTTTAACCCGGCCTTTTTTAAGGATATCCTCAATCTGATAGAGATATGTTCGCTGAAGTCTATCTCCCCACGCTACCATCCACATTCGCTCTATAAATTTGTGCCGTCAATCGACCAACATTCTCGATCATCTTTCTACATGACCAAACCATCGAAGCATTCCTCTCTCTATCCTTGTCACTACATCATCTTTCATACCACAACGCTCTCTTACCTCACTGTTTGGCATTCTATCTTTAAGACTAATACCTCACATATTGCGCAAAGCTCTCATTTCTACAGCATTCACCCTACTTTCATGTTTTTTCTGCAACACCCAACACTCACCTCCATACATTAGGGTTGGGATGAGCAGGCCCCGATGAACAGCCAAACGTGCCTATTTTGAGACATTCTGGCCACCCATTAAGGCATACAGGGCTCCATTCACTCGATTTCCGGCTTGCACTCTCCTCTCAATGTCCCTTTCACACTTACCATCTCTTGTCAACAAACTACCTAGATACACAAATTCTTTAAACAAATAATAAACACTAAATATTGTCTAAATACAATGAGTTAAAAAAATTTAATTACAGTTTCTTTGAAAGACCTTCCTCTGTACTGTAGAATTCATTATCCAACAAAAGGAGTTTCCGTCGGGTGTGAAACATTTCGTCGAATGTAATACTTTTTAGATTTGCGGGTACGTGTTCGTAGAATCGGGGACCTATTTATTACTCACGGGTTTCTCATTGCGATTTCAGTTCGGTGGGTAACGTATTTAATGGAGGCAAAAGCACATAAAGTGTTTAATAGAGGTAAAGAGTGATTTCCCATTCTCAACAGTAAGGGCGCGTTCCCACTATGTCGTGACGGCAGATTGTCGTGCAGTTTACAGTGTCGTAGCTTGTATATTTAAATGAAGTTGTTCACATATAGCACGACACGATTAACTGTCGTTCACGATTTTTTATCGTTACAACGACAAACTGACATCACAGTGGGAACAGCGAGAACGACAGTCGTCAGATGATAAAAAAAGTCACGATAAAAACGTGACGACAGATTGTTGCAGCTCCTATTGTCGTTACGTTTTATTTATCGCTGTCTGCACGTATTCTGCTCCCTGCCCTCCCCTCTCGTACCCCGCGCCCTTTGCTCGCTTTGCAGTAGCGTTGGGTCGTAGCCAGAGATGGGCAAGGAGGCTGTCGTGAAACGATAAATTGTCATCATGATCTAGTGGAAACAGCTAGTCACGAAAGTCGTTCAACGATAAAAAATCGTCCACGACAGATGGTCGCGATATGGGGACAGGCTAGACACGACTGTCGTCCAACGGTAATAAAACGTGACGACATAGTGGGAACGCGCCCTTACATGACGAAATTGAAAAAAAATTGTGGGAAACGTTTTTGTGAATTTTGCCACTTTCTCAATAACGTTCGCTTTCGAATTGAGTCACTTATTTATTGAAGGTACGATTTATAAAACCACAGAGCTGAAAATGTTAGAGAGAAAAACTAAATGAGACGAAATATTTTTTCTATGATCTCGCGAAAGGTAAGGGTGCTGGTGAAATTACAGGTGCATGGGACTTGTCAACTTTAGTAGCAATGGAGCTCCCTGTGAAAGAGTTCGTCTAGAGAGGTACCGCCACCTTACCTATGTCTGCCGCCAAGCAGTATACTTACAGATCTGCCATCCACTAACTAAAACGTGGCTAATGGACAAATGTCCGTTTTAATTAGAAAAAAATAAAGCATAAAATTCTCTTTTGAAAACAGTTAACGTGTGCTAGTTACCGGAACCTATCTTAACGATGCACAGCTGAATGATCAATTACAATATTCTAAAACTGGGTTAACCATATAACCCATTTTATAATAATAATAATAATATAATAATAAACATTTATTTCAGATAATTGCATCCATATTATTGTTAGTAACATTGGGTACTTACAACTATGTTAATTAATAATAATAATAATAATAATAATAACAAAATTTAACTATAATAAAATTAAAATGATACTAAGACTATACTACTTACATACAATTAAGTCCACCCAGAACTTCAGGATGGGACAATCAAACCTATTAGCGATTACGTTCAGAATCCTGTTGTGACTACCTCGCACCCGGCTCAACAGAGACGCAACCCGCTTCCGTCGGATGGCATAAAAGTCATCAGTGCGTTCCTCGGCGAACATCCCTGAAGCACTGCAATAACGAGGCAGTCCCAACAGCATCCTAAAGGCGTTATTATATTGGACGCGGAGGGCATTGTATACTTTTTTAGTGTAATTGACCCATAGACTGCTCGTGTAAAATACTTGACAGAACGCCTTAAAAAGGGTAATTTTGACTTGTTTGGAACAACGAGCAAACCTACGGGCCAACATATTAGTCCGTACTGCCAATGCCCTCCGTTCCCGTTCAATATCACGATCGTCTTTCAAGTCATCACATATAATGTGGCCCAGGTATTTAAATTGTGTAACTCTATTGAGTATTTTACCATTTAGCATGAATTTTATGATATCTCTAAAAAATATTTTGTCACTTGACTACGTTTTAGTTCGTGGACGGCAGAGATCTCGAATAGATGTCCTAATTGCCAAACGCGCGATGTCGCACGACTAAAATGTTTGGAATCTATTCGCGCGAAAAACGATAACGTTTATCGTTGGATGATTATCGCGTCTTCCCATAACCCGCCTATGTTCTGTCGTGACTGTATCGTGGATGTTTAAATTTATCGTAGAACGACTGTCGTATCTAGTTGTTCCCACTAAATAGTGACGACAGTTTATTAGTCCACGGCAGCCACCTTGTCGTTTGCACGAGACCATGTCGTCACATTTTTATCGTAACGTTTTATTTATCATCGGACGACTGTCGTTCTTGCTCTTCCCGTGACAATTCACGACAGTGTGTCGTCGTAACGTCAAAAAACAAGTTGCAAGACACGACACTAAATTGTACGACTATCTCTCGTCACGACATAATGGGAACGCGCCCTTAGTTCGTAGGATCGCGCGATCAGACATGTTGATGTCGGAATAGGTGTCCTAATTCATAATCGCGTCGCGTTGTCCCAAGCGGGCTCCGCGGCCGCACCCATGATCGCGCGACTATCTATTAGGACACACGCTTGTTGTCATCGCGCGGTTGCGCCATGATCGCACCGTTAATTCGTGCGATGATCTCGTCATCAAGATCGTCATATCAGTCAGGAACATAAGCCTCCCCCAAAAATTGCCAGACTAAATGGTCGAAAGCGACGTGTATCCATCGG